TCTATAACTATTCAGAAACCTACTTCTTAAGGTAAATAACAGAAAGAACTTTTTAAAGATTTTATGGAGAAATATCATTTTCTTTTTACTGTCCACATACTGCAGAATCGTATTTTCCAAAATTTCTACCCCAAGCTGATCTTCCTGATAACTACAAAGGATTAGATTCTATGCCACAAACTAAAATTGTATAATCCACATATCTTTGCAACCTGATAGAATAAACCTTTAATATTTCAAAACATAATAACCAGTTTGAAATATCTATAGTTTACGACATAGGATTGTACACATTTTAGAAAATCAGAGTTTGTGACAAAGACTTCATTCATTTTTTTTATTCAAATCTTCTACAGATGATAAAAAATCTTCTACAATGATAAAAAATCTTCTTCAGATGATAAAAAATCTTCTACAGATGATAAAAAATCTCACAAATGATAAAAAAATCTTCTACAGATGATAAAAAATCTTCTACAGATGATAAAAAATCTTCTACAGATAATAAAAAATCTTCTACAGATGATAAAAAATCTTCTACAGATGATAAAAATCTTCTACAGATGGTAAAAAATCTTCTACAGATGATAAAATATCTTCTACAGATGATAAAAAATCTTCTACAGATGATAAAATATCTTCTACAGATGATAAAAAATCTTCTACAGATGATAAAAAAAATCTTACCTTTCATTATCGGTGGACACAGCTAGAGCGTCTATATTCGGCATTGTCTCTAGAAAAATCAGAATTAAGGAAATAATGATTATTGTGTAATTCAAAACAATATTTAAGAGGGTAATCTATATTTGTCTGCAACTGCGAGATTATTATGAGCAGTGTCCGAATTTAATGAATTTGAGTCGCGTCTTAAATCCACCAAAATTAAATTACTTATTAAAATTACTTAAATTGAAACCGAATTTAAAGAATTTTAGCGTCGTCTTAAATTTTGAAGCAATGAATACAATTTTAAGTGGAACCAACCATATTTTAGTCGCGGCTTAAATTTAAGCCGCGGCTCAAATTCTTTAAATTCGGTTTCAATTTAAGTAATTTTAGATGCTACCCCCCTGACTAACCAGAGCGAGATGCGTTTGGTTTCTTCAATAAAATTCAGTCGTGTTCTGGTCTAGAATTCAACAGAATTCAACAATCTTTAATTTTACAGAATTGTCCTTCTATTCTTTTTCATTTTAAACGTATCCGCGATTCCGCGCATACAAAAAAAGTATGGAAGAAAAAGAAACATTATTTTTAATGGGTCAAATTGTCAGTCACAGTTAGGGCATTTGACTGCTAACAGCTAAGTTCTTTGACTATTGAGAAACAGCTAAGTGAATGACTTTTCAAAAGCAGCTAAGTTCTATTACTATTCAGAAACAGCAGGTTCTACAACTATTCAGAAACAGCAAAATTTTACTACTATTTATTAGCTGCTAAGTTATATGATTATTCAGAAACAGCTAAGTTATATTATTATTCAGAAACAGCAAAGTTCTATAACTATTCAGAAACAGCTAAGTTCTCTGACTATTCAGAAACAGCTAAGTTCTCTAACTATTCAGAAACAGCTAAGTTCTCTGACTATTCAGAAACAGCTAAGTTCTCTAACTATTCAGAAACAGCTAAATTCTATAACTATTCAGAAACAGCTAAGTTATATGATTATTCAGAAATAGCTAAGTTCTATAACTATTCTGAAACAGCTAAGTTCTATGACTATCCAGAAACAGCTAAGTTCCTTGACTATTCAGAAACAGCTAAATTCTCTAACTATTCAGAAAAAAGCTAAATTCTATGACTATTCAGAAATAGATAAGTTATATGATTTATCAAAAACAGCTAAATTCTATAACTATTCAACAACAACTGAAATCTATGAATATTCAGCAACAGCTAAGTTGTATAACTATTAAGAAACAGCTCAGTTCTATAACTATTCCAAAACAGCTAAGTTCTATAAATATTCAGAAACAGCTAAGTTCTATGACTATTCAGAAACAGCTAAATTCTATAATTATTCAGAACCAGCTAAGCTTTATAACTATTAAGAAACAGCTCAGTTCTATAACTATGTAGAAACAGCTAAGTTCTATAAATATTCAGAAACAGTTAAGTTCTCTAACTATTCAGAAACAGCTAAGTCCTATGACTATTCAGAAACAGCTAAGTTCTCTGACTATTCAGAAACAGCCAAGTTCTATAACTATTCAGAAACAGCTAAACTCTATAACTATTCAGAAACAGCTAAATTCTATAACTATTCAGAAACAGCTACGCTCTATAAAACTTTTCAGAAACAGCTCAGTTCTATAACTATTAAGAAACAGCTAAGTTCTATGACAATTCAGAAACAGTTAAGTTCTATAACTATTCAGAAACAGCTAAGTTCTACAATCATTCAGAAACAGCTATGTTCTATATCGATTCAGAAACAGCTAAATTCTATAACTATTCAGAAACAGCTAAATTCTATAACTATTCAGAAACAGCTAAGTTCTCTAACTATTCAGAAACAGCTAAGTTCTCTAACTATTCAGAAACAGCTAAATTCTATAACTATTCAGAAACAACAAAGTTCCCTGACTATTCAGAAACAGCTAAGTTCTATAACTATTCAGAAACAGCTAAGTTCTATAACTATTCTGAAACAGCTAAATTCTATAACTATTCAGAAACAGCTAAATTCTATAACTATTCAGAAACGACAAAGTTCCCTGACTATTCAGAAACAGCTAAGTTCTATAACTATTCAGAAACAGCTAAATTCTATGACTATTCAGAAACAACTAAGTTCTATATCTTTTCATCTTCTTTTTGACTTTTTAATACTGTTTCTAACTTCGCCTTTTTCAAAATATATCTATAATATAGTGTTGCATTTCATATCGGGTAAATATCCCCCCCCCTCATTTTTAATTTGATTTCATTCATTGGAGACCCTGCCTTTCATTGTAAAATATAATGTTTCATCGGAGGCCCATCGGAGACATTTTTATAACTGAAGAAATGATTCTCAAATTCAAGAAAAACTCCTCTTTTTACTTTAGGAGACACTCCTTGACTCCTAATTGTCCATTGTCCATGTCTATAAATGTCAGCTGTCAGTTCTAAGTATGTAATCTACGTGTCCGAATGTCTGGCTGTAACTGAACTATTCTGTCCCGCAGTTTAAATTTCTATCGCACGCTCCTTCCTTACTAACCAAGCGCACATCTATCTATCTATCCATCTACCGTTTACCACACGTCTAACCACCGTTCACCCTTTTTCTAGGCTTCTCACGAAACGTCGCCAATTTTACGTTTTCGGAGTACAAGAGAATCTGCATTCCGTATAACTGTAAGAAGGGAAAGGGGGAAGGAAGGGAAGGAAGGGAAGGAAGGGAAGGAAGGAAGGAAGAGAAGGAAGAGAAGGAAGGGAAGGAAGAGAAGGTAGGGAAGGAAGAGAAGGAAGAGAAGGAAGAGAAGGAGAGGTAGGAAGGGGTTGTGGGAAGACTAAAAAATTGTTTAAAATTGATCTGGTCAGATTGATATTATATTTTTTTATGTACAATACGCTTGAGAAACCAATTTTGATTCAATTAATAGTTTAAAACAAATAAATGCATTTGTTATTTTCATATTCAATTCTGAAATTTCTAATACACTTGACAAAGATTTATTGATTATACATTCAGTGAAAAGGAGGAGCAAATTTATCATTTTACTTTAATACAAATTTTATTAACATTTTTTTCGGATCGTGTCTGCAATCATTGAAACAACTAGGCTTCGTGGATTTTCAAACTTTTGTGAAATTCAAATTTTGTTGGAGGTTATGAAGTTATTCATCTATCCTGGCTGGTTTTTTTTTTTCTAGGTTTAACTTTAAAAATCGTCAGTAATTCAATAATCCACTTTAATTCAGTCCACTTTTTTACTAATTGTCCATTAAACTTGGAATTCAGAATAAAAACAGAAAAAGTGTTTTGCCATCTAGTCAACCGTGCTGCGGGTTTATTTCTAATTCTGCATGATTCACCGGGTTTCCAGAACTCCGAGATTTTAACCGTCTAAAAATAATCGACCTAGCTTAATTTAACATGGCTTCAATAAAAATACATGTTGAAAGATCTAACAAGATATGGAAGAAAAAGAACCTATAATCTAGAATCTAGAATCTAGAGCCTATTATCTAGAATCTAGAACCTAATATCTAGAACCTGAAACATATAAACGAGATCCTAGAACTTATAATCTAGAACTTAGAACCTGTAATCTAATACCCAGAACCTATTATCTAGAACCTAGAACCCTAAATCTAGAACATTGAACCCTGAATCTAGAACCTAGAACCCTGAATCTAGAACCAAGAACCCTGAATCTAGAATCTAGAAACAAGAACCCTGAATCTAGAATCTAGAACATAGAACCCTGAATCTAGAATCTAGAACCTAAAACCCTGAATCTAGAATCTAGAACCTAGAACCCTGAATCTAGAATCTAGAATCTAGAACCTAGAACCCTGAATCTAGATTCTAAAATCTAGAATCTAGAACCTACCCTGAATCTAGATTCTAGAATCTAGAATCTAGAACCTAGAACCCTGAATCTAGATTCTAAAATCTAGAATCTAGAACCTATAACCCTGAATCTAGATTCTAGAATCTAGAATCTAGAACCTAGAACCCTGAATCTAGATTCTAAAATCTAGAATCTAGAACCTAGAACCCTGAATCTAGATTCTAGAATCTAGAATCTAGAACATGGTACTGTTCCCGAAGAGGTCTGCAGATTTTCCTATTTTTATTGGTTTCAATGTTTAAGAAAAATTTAAAAGCAATATTTTGAAACTTCTAAACCTCTCAATCTGTTTTGGGTCATTTGAGTTTCCACAAAAAATGTTGACCTAATTTTGAAGTTGCTGGAATAAAAAAAGTAAAGCTAAAAATACATAAATAGTTGAATTTAGAATCTAGAATCTAGAATCTAGAAAGTTGATGATAAATTGATTATATATAAATTACGTCTCGACATGCTTCGATGCTATTATTACAGCAGGTGGATTGGGCAGTAAGGGGGGCAGGGGTGTAAAATATTATTACAGCAGGTGGATTGGACAGTAAGAAAGGGGGATATGGAAGGAAGACGAAATTATAATTTTATAGTAATTTATTAGTTTTTCAAAAACATGAAACAATGTACCAAGTATACAATCAAAAATTTCGTTCTACTAAAATCACTTTTACGAAAAATTTAAATAAGAAATTTAAAATTCAAAATACTCATTATATACAAAAATAAATATTCCCAAAATAATTGCATTCGTAAACAACAAAAAAACTGCAAAAAATGACATGCAAAATCTTATTGGAAACTTCTCTGTGATATTGAAACCATTTTTAATATATCGAACTATCTAGGTGCGTAGTTTACAATACAATTCTACTTTAAGCAGAGAATTCATGTCACAATAAACATAGAAATTTAAGGCATTAAAATCGTCTTTGATTGAAAAGTTTTCAGGGAAAACAATTTTACCTCTCCGGGCTTTCAAATCTGTGTTCTACCATCTTTGTGACTGAAAAAAATGAAAATATTATTGTATAGATCCTGAGACAGCCTTGAACACCTATGAAAATACAATAAATTGATATGAACACAAAAAAAAACAATCTATTTAGATTGAATTAATAGAAAAAAAGTTTTAAAAAATGAGAAAATACTAAATATGTTAAGGCACAAATTATCC